AAGTTTCTTAAAAATCTTGTTTCTGGCATATAACATTAATATAAGCAGATGCCGAGCAGAAGGAAAAATAAAAAATATGACTAATAAAACAAAATAATATATAGGAAACTCAAAATTGAAGAAGTAGGCCATTATCTTGGGAATAATGAGCTAAGCTAGCATTTGCAGTGAATTTAGGAACGTATTTATATCCTTATTATTATTAAATAGTTCGTGCTAATTACAATAAAATCATGGTTGAACTGATAATGATCATCTGAGATAATACGATGATGCATCCGGTTACTTATATTCTTGGAAAAGGATTTGACCCGTTATAGGGGAGTACGTACTCGAGGCAGTTAGGATGGAGAGAGATGGAGTATTCTATATTATAAATCATTTTAAAAAAAACTCTTAAAAACAACAATTAAATACTAAGCCATGTCTAGTAAGACCCGTGATACTATTTTTTTACACTTGAAATTTCACAGCAAAACGTTGTGAAGATAACCTTCACAACATTTCTACTGTGAAGGTTTGGCTTTTTTTACCTTCACAACGTTTTGCTGTGAAGTTTTAAATATAAAGAAATGATGGATCTCATGAAAACAGGTTGATCTCACGTCAAACCAAATATATATATATATATATATATATATATGTATATACATATAGACACACATAAGGATACAAGATATATAACACTCATGACTCACAGGTCACAAGTCCCATGATTCCCTTTGTTACTTAGAAAGTTCCATACGCCAAGAATCTTTATAGACTTTGTTTTTATAAGTTCACACACTAAATGCGTGCAACAACTACTATACAACTCATACCACCGCCTATTCCTTTACTTTTTTACTCTTTAACTACTTTTATATATTAAAATAAGAGTGAAGCTTGAGGAAAAATCTTCAATAAATTGAAAAACATTATAATAACCATTCATCTGTATGGTATATATATATATATATATATATATATATATATATATATATATATATGCACGTATGCATACCATTCAGATGAGTTATTTTTAGAGCGTTCCTTACTTTTTCATTATTTTTTTACGGTTTTCCTTGAACCTGACCCACCAAAATAAACCCACAATTTTTTTCGTTTCATACGATACTACAACAAAATTGGATTTATAGAATGTAAAAAATGTCTAAATAGATTGTTTTATAGGACTTAAGTTTATAAGAACATATGTTAAATGTAATATGTAAAAATGTTGGTAATAAGTTTTATGGGATGTGTTAACAAGTTTTTTAAAACATTTTTAAAATAAAGTGTCGTGTTAACTATTTTATAGGATATTATTTGAAACGTGTTGGAAAGAGTGTGGTTGGAGGTTCTTACATATGATGATAAGAGAGGTCGAGAAGAAGATTGGAGATGGCAAAGATTCTAAGATGATAACTGAAGAAAGGGAGATTATACGGTTGAGTTGAAAATGACGAATGATTGAGGATGTGAAGATGGTGACACAATGATTATTTGATATGATAGTTGAATTTTTTTTAAGTATATAATATTTATATACAGCAAATGTAACAAATAAACTCATACACCTTCCTCACCTTTGATGAGATTTGTACGCCTGACCTTCTAGGAAGCTAAAGACTACGACATCATTAGGCCACAGACCCCTTGATGATAGTTGATTATTATTGGATGTTAATGAACGATTGAAATTATATATAATTTACTTTTTTTAAGAAACAAATAATTATATAAATAATATAAAAAATAAAATTTGTTTGAGTCATAATTGAGTTTTAGGAAACAGAAAAATAAATATGTTTATTGTATTTAATAAAGCAATTAATATTTTGCAAAACCTCCAATTATTTTGAAGTGTATTTTCTAATAGAAGTTGCAACATAAAATATAAAGGAGACAACAAATCACAAGTTAAAAAATCCTCTACATATTAATCATCACCCAAGTTTCCACTCATATTATTCTATTCTAACTTTTATTACATATTAAATAAATACAATATATTTTATCTAAATACAGAGTCTGATAAATAAAATATACTAAAGATGGTGATTTATCCAGATCCGGTGGGAAATCTGGCTCATCCGATCTGCATGGGAACAAGAATTCCCCGCTAAAACGGGTCTGGAGGCCGAGAATCCCCGGTAGACTCAAAAAGGGGGTCAGGGCCGGTTACCAAACCTGGGTTGGGGTCGGGGACGGAGATCCCTGGTAAACCCAAACTAATGAATATTCTTTACGGGGTTTGACCGGAGATCAGGATCGGGGACACCGCTGGGTGCTGTTACTAAAAGTTGGGGCATGGGTTTACAAAACCCGCCCCATCCCCGTCCCGTTGCAAAAGAAAAGAAGATTAAGGCTAGATAACATTTGTATACTTATCTCGATTAAATACAATATTTTCTGATAAAAAAAATGATATGATCCACGATATATCCGTCTAAAATAAATATCCATAATGAAATTGACACATGACTGTGTAATTATTACATATATAACTAAATGACATTTTTATCCTTAACAATAAAAAGATAAATTTTATTCATCTCATAATTAAAGGTAAAATGACAGAGTCGAAACTTAATTTTGAAAATAAACACTTATATTGAGACAAACTAAAATAAAAATATGGACATTTAATTTGAGATAGATGAAATGGAAACTGATACTGAAATTATTTTGTTTTTTTATAAAATAATAAATGAATTGATAATTACAATTTGGATAAATAGTTACAATTTTTATTAGATAATTAGTGAAGTAGTTGGATGAAGTGTCAGGTGGGTGATGCATTATCTAATAAATCATAAGCTTTTGACGTACGTATTATAAGTCAACTCTATAATTTTTGATTTTCCAACACCTTTTTTTATTATTATTTATAAAAAAAAAATGATGACTGCTACTTAATTTGCACATGAAATGTGAATAGTTTTACATATTAGGGTTTAAAAACGTAAATTAAAATAATAAAATGTTTATTAAAAAAGAAAAGATAATGATTAATGAAATAATTGGAGCGTGATTTTTGGGTCATGGTCTCAATGTTTAACAGCTTCAGAAAAAACAAATTCCATAAACCACATGCATCCCATCCCATTGCATTGCTTCTTTGAACATTCTTCCTTACAAATTTATTTTCATTTTTATAATTTACTGAACGTAATTTCGAAATTGTAGCGTAATTAATTAGACGTATGTTTTTAGAAAATATCTGGTTGTTTTATGTCGAATTTCTCAGGTTGTGTTTCGGAATTGCATACGGTTGAGAAAATAGTAATTGTTATGGAAGATAAGAGAAATGTGTGTGTGTATATATATATATATGTAATATATATATATATGTAATATATATATGTAATAAATTTGAGAAGAAATAGATGGAGGGAGGGAGAGGTGCCAGGCTTGCACTCCAATCCTCCACAAGGTATCGTTATGGCATATAAATAATCACCAAGCAAGCTCCTATCTGGGTTTCCTTCCAAGCCAACCGATTCTTACCTTCCTTTATATTATATAATATATATATATATATATACATACATACACGTATACGTATATATGAACATGTTCAAACGAGAACGCTAATTATTTAAAAAAAACAAGAAAAATGACGTTAATGTACAAAATCATATATGATTCACGTATAAAATCATACATGATTCACGTGTGTGTATATATATATATATATATATATATATATATATATTCACGTACAAAATCATACATAATTCATACACACACACATATATATATCATATACAAAATCATATAGGTTCAAAAGTCGTCTGTTTCCATTTTTTGACGCTAAAGTAAAATCACATGTGATTTTGTATATTACCGACTTTTTTTTTCTTGTTTTATTAAATATTAAATAGTTAGTATTCTCATTTTAATCTTCCCCTACGTATAATATATATATATATATATATATATATATATATATATACACATATAGTAGAGGTTAAGTTCACATGAGATCAATCAATTTTCGTGAGACCCCGAAACTAGAAAATAACACTGAAACTTTAGTACAAAACATTGTGAATGTACAAAAAAACACGGAACCTTTACGCAAAACACTGTGAAGGTACATTTACAGTGTTTTTCTGTGATTGTTTTATGTTATTTAATTATCAAATCAGTTGGGAGGGTAACTAAAGTTTCCTCTTATAAGGGACTGAATACCTACTATATTAAACGTGTTTTACAACCATGGTCCAGGTGTTTGGATAAAGTGGACAATATCTGATATAGTTAGCCTTAGATCATGTTGCAGTCTTACGAAAATAGTTTGATCTCACATGATTCCAAATCTATAATAAAGAACCGGTGTATATGAGAATCACAATAAATTAACAAGTACTTAAAGAACAATATTAAGATTTACTTTCTAAAATTCCGGATTTAATTTCCAAGATTTGTGACTACTATTTTCATTTATATTTGCTACAAATAAGAGCAAGATCTCACCTATGACGCGATATTGATTTCAATCGTATAGGAAATAATACATCTTCAATGATCTGGAATTTATACGAGCAGTATGTCAATCTATTTTATAGGAGAATTGCAAAAAACCATAATCTCTTTCTTAAAACCACATGAACAATATTATAACATATACATAAACAAAATAAAATAAAACATTAAAATTGAGATATATTTCATAGCATTGTGCGAATACCCTTCTAATATATATATATATATATATATTATGTTAAAAGATTTAATTTTTTTTAAAGTATATTTTATACGAAAAAAGATAGAAAAAAGGAAGAGAGGTTGGCTTTTTATAGTAACTTCGAAGGTTGGAAAGGCAAAGATGGATTGGTGGACATGCTCTCACGGTTACACTTCACGGGGGCGGCCCCTTCTTCTTCTTCCTCTATATCTTACCACTAACACTTCTCTCTCTCTACTTTCTCTCTCTATATAATTCCAACCTTCGACTCCATTACTTTCCCTTACTCCACCTTCCATCTCTCTCTCTACTTTCTCTCTCTAAAATGGAAGCTCATCATCAAGATGATTATAATTCAATCATGGAGGATTCAAGAAACATGGTCATCAAAGGAAAACGAACCAAACGCCCAAGACCCTCATCTCCTCTTGCTCTCACCATGGCCTCCACCTCATCAACCACCACCACCGCCACCACCGGAGCCACCAGTGATGATCATCAAGATGGTGATCATACAGATATCAATAACCCTAATGATCACTTCTTCCATATACCCACCAACAACTCCATTGAATTCACCAGAATCCTCCAAGAACACGATGATGAAGATATGGCCAACTGCTTGATTCTTCTTGCCCAAGGCCAAGCCAATAACTCCCCATCGTCGCCGCCACCAAACAAGGCGACGGAGGTAGCGGGGGCGTGGGCAGAGGTTCAGGTTGCAAGAACTTCTGGTTTTTATGTTTATGAATGTAAAACATGTAATCGAGGGTTTTCTTCGTTTCAAGCCCTTGGTGGACATCGAGCCAGCCACAAGAAACCCCCTAAACCTACCGTTGAAGATAAAATTAGGCCAAACATTGTGAAACAAGATGTGGGTGTTCATCATACGACACTATCTCTTCAGATTGGTTCGGACCACCAGACCTATTGTAACCCTAGTGGCTCGAACAAACCGGCTAAGGTTCATGAATGTTCGATATGTGGTGCAGAATTTGCTTCAGGTCAGGCACTTGGTGGTCATATGAGGCGACATAGGTCCATGCCCATGGCTACAACCACTTGTAGCAATTCTTCGAGTGGGTCTCATCAAGAATCCAAGAAACCAAAAACCCTACTGTCGTTGGACCTAAATCTTCCGGCTCCGGTAGAAGACGATCATCGGGAAACAAAATTCCCATTTCGACCCAAAGATCAAATGATCGTGTTCTCGAATTCTTCTCTAGTTCATTGCCATTTCTAGACTCGAACAACTTACATATTATTCAAATTTTTTTCATTCAATTCGGTTTACAGATAATTCGTTCTGATGTAAAAACTGATTCTTTAGAATTCATTTAGTTTGTTCATATATTCGATGAATGGCATGGTTACTTGAATTCTTCGAACATGTGGTTAATATTTACAATTAACTTTGTCTTTGTGATGTTTGATTTAGAGTAAAGAAGATTTTTTTATCTGTTTTGACCGATAACCTGTACATTTTATAACATCTGATGATATGGATATCTGAAGATCAACAAATTACCGGTTAAAATTTTTAAATATTTTTAAATAAAATATTAATTAATCTTATTTAATTTGATCCGTCTTTCTTCTTCATACATATTGTTGGTGGCGATTGCTTCACATAAAAGTTGGTACCTTTTGTTCTTTTTCCTTGTGGGTCACTGATTCTTGTGAACTGAATGCTAAAGTCATATAAATTGTGGCCATGGCAACTAACGTTTTTAATGTTTATCACATATTTGGTCGATCTCGAAATTAACGTTTAAACTGAACGAGTTTCTACTTTTCAAAAGATGGGCGTGACTAACGAGGCTCAAACTCGGGACATTAGGTTTCGCTTTAATTACGAAAATACGGATCATGACCCAACGGAAAAGGTTGTGAGAACCATTCGTAAAATGAATCAAGAACGAGAAACGTGCAGATAGGAAAGAGTGCTAGCTTTTGTGCTAACTGATCATGTGAAACAGACGAGTGATCATAAATGTATTGAACATTTCTTGTGAAAACATATATTTTTAATAAAAAAAACGTTTGTTATAAATGTCATACAACATTCGTTATATATATATATACACACACACACACACGTCATCAATATCATCTGAAAAGTGATGAAGACAGATAAAAGAAAGCAATATGATCATTCATCATGTGAAACAACAAGACTAAGACTAGCGGTAAGCTTATAACTTATGTTATCGTGGATTATTCTATGCCATCGTTATACTGAATATCTTTCTCATGACAACAGAAATTCATACCGAAAAGATACGAGTGAAATGATGGCATCGTGAAACTTATACGTCACACTAATTAGTTAAATTGAAAACGAGAAAATTACATACAAAAAGTTAAAAGAATCCCTCTTTTTTCCGATCCAGTACCTCCACCATCACGAACCCCAGTTGAGCATAATTAATATATATGTTACAAAGTAACTTGTAAGTCATGTTCGACAACTATATTTATTTGTGTTTACTGAAAATATCACGTTTGGTTAATCATAACCCAGTTTTTTGAGAACATATTTCATGTACGTTTCAATAAGCTTTTTGGGTTTTTTTTTTTCTTTCAACGTGGTCTTTTAAGTCATTTTACATTTTCATCGAATTATCAGCTAGTTTTTGTCATTCATGACTAGTTTATAAGCTCGGTTACCAAACATAACCACGAAAAACATACAACTGTTATAACTTTTTCAGTATCATTCTTATCCAAAAGGCCTAAATGTTCCCTGGAAAACGTATATTAATATATTAGTTCAAATTATCAGTCCGCACTACAACAAAATTTGATTATAGGACGTCAAAATGTTCTAAGTGTCATGGTAAACCGCATTATAAGACTTATTTAATATGACCAAAAAAATAAAACGTCTTATCTAATTGTGTTGTAATAAATTTATAAAACGTTTTTGGACGCCGTAACAAGTTTTTAGGTCTGTTGTTAATAAAAGAAACATCGTATTAGAACACTATTTGAAAGAAAAAAAACAAGAGTTGATGGAAAGACGGATTTATAGGACACTTCTCAAAAACGCCATGTTAAATAACCAGTCTGACGCTTTACATTAAAACTGTTCTAAAAAACTTAATAAGAAGCCAAAAATCGTTCTATAAACTTATTACAACACCTTTAGATATAACGGGATCATATATTTTGTCTATAAATTAAATCTTATAACACAGTCTATAAAAACATTCTATAAACCTAATTTTGTCGTGAATTACAATTTAAATAATTGATGAGATTAATTAATAAGCGGGTTGAGTTAAGAAAGTATTAATTAACACGCAAATAGAACCGTGTTTGGTTACTCCAAATAATGACTTCATCAATGGGAAAGACGTGGCCGGTTTGACAAAATATTTTCGTGGATGTTATATATTTTATTTCTTAGTTTTTAGTTTTTTTTTTTTTTAATCGGTTGATATTTATGTAAAACGGTTTCCGACGCACCAATTTCAAGATAATTATGTAAAAACGTAGCAGGTATACAGTGGCTTGCTAGAAGACTGGTTTAAGAGTCCAATGTCTGCAAGAAACCCAATATTAATGAAATTGTAACTCCTATACTGTAGCTGTCAGATTCAAACACTCGACTGTTTTGTACGTTGTCCGTGGTGTTTTTAGTCGAATTACACCGTTTTGAGGGATTTTTAAAGTTTTTAATTGATTTTGGGAGACTCTTTCGTTTTTTGATTGATATTTCTTATATTTGCTAATATCTCGGAGCATCGTTCAAAGTTTAGCGAGTGCATCTTTCATACATAAAAGAAATACTCTACTTACAAAAATAAGTTAGTTGAACGGATGCACTGAAGTCCGTTCGGACATACACAGGTTCGCTCCTGCAAGTATTAGTTAGAAAATAATGTTTGAATTATCTACGGAATGAAAAAAGGGCGTGTATCTTAAACCCAATCGAGCGATTGCTTTAAACTTGAATCAATGTTGTAATATGGTTAATGGTTTTCATAGAAATATGTTTTTAAAACCATTTTTCCTACGTAACAAAAAGAGTCGATTTTGGGGTTGTTTGTTTACCTCTTAATAGTTCCATTAAGAAGTAATCTTTGAATCGTTAAGAGGTGAATCTTGTTTGACAAAAAAAAAAATCTGTCTCTTAATGGTTTTAAAACTCTCTGAATGATTTTGTATCATAAGCCTCCCTTAACGATTAGGATCCCTAATTTCATTGTAAACAATTACCAAACAGTTATATTTCATTTTGCACTATATCATTAGAGTCTCTTAGTCATTCTGACCACTTAATGATTCTGCACAAAACTATTCAGCAACTATCAAACAGCCCCTAAATCTAATTCAATGCAATTCGGACGATCAAAGCTTCCAAAAATAAAGTGTCCGATAATTTAAAAGAGTGATTGAAATCTTCAAATTGATCATAATTTTTTTTAATTTATGATTAAACTGAAATATTTTTATTAACTACAAAAAATAAAAATAAGAGAGGACTACACGTGCCAGCCTCTGATTGGTTGTGTGGCTCGTTGACCGTAGGCCAGGGTGCAATAACGTATATGGTTGACCAACAATATTTTAAAATCAACCTATTTTTAAATTAAAAAACTAATAGAAATGTGATTAACAATTTAAAAGGCCTTGTTGGTCCACTTTTAGCCAGGCGTTTTAAGGTTATTTGCGAGCAGCCTTCATCCGTAACAAGTTGTTATTCATTATGAATCTGTGTTTATATTGTTTTTATCATGTCCGTCTTTTAACATGTTAAATGTGAGATTTTGAACGGGACTTCCGAAAATTTGGGGCCCAAATTTACATGCGTTTAGGGTCTTTTATCGACCTGTGTAAAACTATACCCGAAATTATTTAGGTTCAAACCATTAATTGTTTGGTTTTAGGTTCAAATCATTAATGGTTTAAGTTTAGTTTCAGATTGTTAATCGTTTTAGGTTTAGTCCATTTTTGTTCTTAAGATATATTCTCTATTATCTCATTTATGCAATGCAATCAATAGTTTTGGATGTAGCAGGGTCTCCACTAGCTTTTATGACCATAATATTTGTTTTGAAGTTTATTTCCATGTTTGAAATCCTAAATGATATATATCAGTGTACGTTTAACATTTCCAATATATAACGAAGTCGTGAAACTTTTGCATATATTATATTATCCATGGTTATCGAGTTCTGTTGAAATGTATGTTGAAATAATGAAACAACTAAAGTGGTGTTTGATGAATGATTCAAAATTTTGAATAGTTAAAATATATCGGTATATGTATGAAACATTTCAGATGAATAAACAATTCTGATAAAAAAAATCTATAAACGATAAACAGAAGAATCATTATTAATGTCAATTAGCGAAGATTCTCGTCAATGAGTAGATATGGGTAATGGGTATGAAAAATGTCTTTTGTAATATAGAACAAGCCATTTGAAAGGGCAAAATAGACCATTAATTTCCAAATTATTGAGTCTCATGTTAGGATATGGGTGACATAAAAGAAGGTGTTAAGTCGTAGTCCCAAATTGTTATTTGATAAACGGGTTTGAGTATAACTCACTCAAACGACGAGGCTGCCCAAACCACATATATACCAATCTTTTCGACATGATAAAATGAGACGAATGCTACTTAGAATAATTTTGGCAGGCTAGGTTGGTCCAGTCGTGGACCCAAAAATTTCCCAGAGCGAGGGCACCTTTAAGTTGGTCTATAAAACCATGGTTTGACGTAGGGGGAAGTTGACGTGGTTTGACTAGAAAATAGTCAATTGTGCCGATTTGGGGAATAAAATACATTTTTTCAAATGAGATCGATCTTGATATCTATACTATATTATAAAGCATTTGACTAAAACTCTTAAAAACTCTTAAACTCTTAAAAACTCTTAAACTCTTAAAAACTCTTAAACCCGTTCATCCCTATCCGATTTCATCACATATCTGAATTCGTGTAACTAACTGCAAATAAACACAATCAAATACAGAATAAACATCTCATTTTAAATATAAAAAATCTAAAATATAATTAAGATAATCATTAAGTTCTAACAGAATACTTAATTATTATCTTTATAAAATATTATATTATTAAACCAAAAATAAATTATTTCATTATTAAACTTAAATTAAATTATAAT